TGGTATACTTTGGTGACAGATTTTCTTGTAGGTAGAATGGCGTCCTAATTTGTTTTATATTCCTGTTTGTCCATGATCACTAAAATATTAGCTTTGTCCGCACGTCGCACAATGATGTCGTCATGGTTTCTGAGTTCCTTAGCAGCAGTACGGAGTTTTGGTGTTAGCAGGGGGGTGTTGTCACGGTCACGTCGTTTCGTGCTTTCCGCGCGTAGTTGGTCTTAGTATTTTATAAACCTCACTGTGGTTACAATATGAAAAGTAACAGAAATCTTCCTAAACCTTACAAAAACTTTTAAACACATGCAAAAATATGTTCTAAACCTTAGTGTTTCTACTATATGAAATGAAACGAAAGTTCTCCAAACGTTACTGTGACTACTATATGAAATGAAACGGAAGTTTTCCATAATTTACTGTGACTACTATATGAAATGAAACGAAAGTTCTCCAAACTTTACTGTGACTACTATATGAAATGAAACGAAAGTTCTCCAAACTTTACTGTGACTACTATATGAAAAGTAACGGAAGTTTTCCATAATTTACTGTGACTACTATATGAAAAGTAACGGAAATTTTCCAAACTTTATTGTGACTTCTATATGAAAGTAACCAAAGTTTTCCAAACTTTATTGTGACTGCTATATGAAAAGTAACGGAAATTTTCCAAACTTTATTGTGACTTCTATATGAAAGTAACCAAAGTTTTCCAAACTTTATTGCGAATTCCATTCGATTAGCTACAGAAGTATTCTCAAGCTATGTTATGAATTGTATAAAGATTAATTGGAAGATTTTCGAAACTATGACTTCCAAATAAAGCATTTTCAAACCTTATGGTAACTAGTATTTAAAAGTTTGTAAACATGACTGTCTCTGTATTAGAACTTCTAGGTCACAAAATCACCCTGGAGTTCCAAGAAATGCACATAGGAGCTGTAGAACGTAGCTTAAAGCTACAGAAAGACGTCCCTAACTTCGTAGGACACATGCAACACTTGGAGTTCAACGGTTTCCGTTATTTTGAAATGGCTCAGACAAGACAGTTGCCCAACTTTCAGGTGTGAAATATATCTATGTTTCCATAGCATGTTGCGATACGGATAGATACAAATGTTTTTAATTTAACACACTAAGTTTGGTAAGAGATAACATTTTATGATATGATATGGTTGGATACAAATGTTTCTAGCCTGAAATATCAAATCTAGTAAGAGAGAGAACATATTTTATGATACAATATTGGTGGAAACAAATGTTTTGAACATTATTAAATTTTGGTAAGAGAGAACGTATTCTATGTTATTGTATTGGTGGATACAATGTTTCGAACTTATATACATTATTAAATTTTGGTAAGAGAGAACGTATTCTATGTTATTGTATTGGTGGATACAATGTTTCGAACCTCTATATACATTATTAAATTTTGGTAAGAGAGAACGTATTCTATGTTATTGTATTGGTGGATATAATGTTTCGAACTTGTACACATTATTAAATTTTGGTAAGAGAGAACGTATTTTGCAATATTGTGTTGGTGGATATAGTTGTTTCTTGCCAAAATCACCAAAGTGTAGTAAAAAAGAACTATTATTACCGTGTACTTGAAGCTATTAATACAAGTATTTCTAATCAACAAGAAATCCTAACCTTTTAGTATCTTCCAAATTTAGTTATGTTGTATAGTTGGAAACACAGTTCTAACCCACCAGTAACGGTAAGTTCGGTATAGCTGATTAAAGAACTTCTAAACAAAAGGTTTGGTAAGGAGAAATAACAGAATGTTTTGTTGTGATACCAATATTTCACTCTCACATATAACAAAAAAGTTTGTCAGAAAAATCATATACCTTATAACCCTGTAGGTGTTAGATTGTTCATGGATCTATATTTCTAACAAATGCAAAAAAACTTTAGTAAAAATTAACATATTCTGTAAGTATTGATATAAGTATTTTCCTCTCTCAGGTAACAGCCAAATTTGGTAACAAAGAACATATTGTTCACCATCCTGTCACCTTCAAATCCAAGTGGACTTACGTAGGCTTACCCCAACTTAAAGCTTACTCTACGATGAATCTCTATTTTCAGTTTAAAACCTCTTACCCTAGTGGACTGATCTTGTACAATGGTGGGAAAGGACAAGACTTTATTGCTATAGAACTGGTAAATGGGCATCTTCACTACATCTTCAACATGGGCGATGGCCCTCGAAAGGTCAGATCGAACACTCGTCGTACACTAAATGATAATAAGTGGCACGCAGTAACTATTGGCCGATTAACTTTACATCAGCACACGCTCATGGTAGACGATATGATTGCTACTGTGACCAGCATGGGATCCAATGTCCATTTGGACTTAGATGGACTACTGTACCTTGGTGGGGTTCGAGAGTCTATGTATGAAAAGCTCCCAAAAATAGTTCAATCAAAATACGGATTTACTGGGTGTATTGCGTCGCTGGATCTCAATGGAGAAACCCTCGATCCCAGTACTGATGCTCTAATTCCTAGTACTCTCGTAGCCAAAGGATGTGCAGGTGAATGTCCGCTAGCACAATTTGCAATCTATTGATAAAAGCTTACCTTAATGTATGATTACGCTTTCCAAAAATATAAAATAATTGATAGCTTGTGTAACGACATTGTTGTAAATTTGTTTACAGTAAACGGCCAAAAATCACCTGAAGACCTTTGATTTTGTATAATAATTACAAATGTATTACATTAAATAATAATAAGTTTAAGAAGACATAATTCTAATTATCAACTTTATTTTTCTGAATGATCTTTTAACAAACTTAAATGCTAAAAGAATATATATGTTTTTATTATTAAACTGTTATATATATTATTAATAAGCACAAATTATGAGTCGTGAAAGTAAAAATAGCCTCTCATCACTCATCAGGACCAGAGAGGAAGTGCAGTTCTAGTGCATGTGCTAATCATGGAGTATGTGTACAGTTATGGAATAGTTATACATGCGACTGTGACATGACGTCATTTACTGGCCCAACCTGTTCTGACGGTAGGGTGTATATTTTATTTATTGGAGTCACTTAACAGTGCAAATTAATACTTGTCCATTGCTATAAGGTTAAACTACACATAAAATTTTTAAACAGATAAGCAGTTTTACTGTTTTCCTCTGTGAATTAATATTTGTTTCGTGTCCGAAAGGCCATGTTAGCTAGAGCTGAAGAAAACCTACAAATGTCGAATTAAATGCTTAAATAGTGAGTTTTGTAATCATATCATACTGTGTTGAAGATAGTTATATAAACCAAAAGATAACATTTCTATGGTGTATTGTATAGGATAGTTATTTAAATCAAATAATATATGTAACCAGATTGAGAATTAATGTAAAGGAAAAAGTATATGTAACAGAGGTTATGGTAACTAGAAAGTACCAGATTATGAACTGTTGTAATAGAAGTTATGGTAACTAGAAAGTACCAGATTATGAACTGTTGTAATAGAAGTTATGGTAACTAGAAAGCACCAGATTACGAATTGTTGTTTGTAAAAGAAGTTATGGTAACTAGAAAGCACCAGATTACGAATTGTTGTTGTAATAGAAGTTATGGTAACTAGAAAGCACCAGATTACGAACTGTTGTTTGTAATGGAAGTTATGGTAACTAGAAAGCACCAGATTACGAACTGTTGTTTGAAATAGAATTTATGGTAACTAGAAAGCACCAGATTACGAACTGTTGTTTGTAATAGAGGCTATGGTAACTAAAAAGTACCAGATTGTTAACTGTTGTTTGAAACGAAAGTGGAGACGTTATTTGGGCAAGACTTTTATATTTTTTAAACTTTTCAGAAAGCATAGCCTACAGATTTGGAGGTGATTCGAGCCTAATGACCTATACCTTCACTCAGGACAAGCGCCCCGATACCAAGACGGATCTCCTGGCGTTAGGATTCATCACCATGGAGGATAATGCTGTGTTGGTGAGGATAGATAGCGGAAGTAGTAACGACTACATGGAGTTGGAGATAGTAAGTGTTAGCATACTACTTATGCTGTTGCACAGTATGAGTAGTTAAAGATACAGTATCCAAGTTACAATAACCTAATGGATTGAAATAGAGTAGATATTATAACATTCAAGCTAATGCTGTTACATAGCGCTACTTTAAGATTGGGTTTATGGGTCAATCAGGCTGCTTTTAAGTAGTTTGGTGGAAATATCATACAACTCATTCACTGTGAAACTACTACATGCCTTGATTTTGTTCTAAAAATTAGTTCTCGGCTTTCCAAAACTAGTGTTGATTCCAGGACTAATAGAACTGTTCCTCTGATCTACTCCATCAAATACAAAAGTATATATATCAGTGGTACATGGATCTGCGACCAGTGAATTTAAGGGTATTGAATTTTTAAACATAAAACAAACCAATTAAATGCCTTCTATACTCTTAAAGTAGACGTAAATGATGCTTATGTGCTTACACTAGAATTTTCTGTAGCTGCTTTGGCTACCATCAGGTGTGGCAACAATGGCATGGCTCGATTACAATTTCATGTTACTTTCTCTTGTTTCATGTTTAAAATATTTGCTTTAACTTGCTTTTCAGTTGAAAATCCATCGACAGTAATGTCATCAAAGTTTTCTATGAAGACCTTGTAGTCTTCCGCGTGTTTGATGCAGAGTTTGTTCAACAAAACAGAAAGGCTCTACTGTTTTTGCTATTTGAACAGATGCTCAAAATATATTCAAACTAGGCGTCATTCAACGTGATTTGAGAGCTTTTCGGGTGTTTGTTCTACTCGTTTGAACATCTGTGTTGCAATGGACAAATTCCGATAATGAATTTTGAAGACATTTATTCGACTGCAAACCTGTAACAATTTGTGAGACGGTCTGTGCATTGTTCACATGATGTCTAATAGTCAACTCAATGGTATGCTCTCCAAAAGTGTGGATCTAAAGGAAATTTCCCGTCCTGGTTTCAGTGTGAAGATAATGAACAATCCTTCTTCTGTAGGTGTAAGATAAAACTCAGAAACAGCGTGAGTTATATTTATTCAAATAACATTTCGCATTGTCACTCTGCAGCACAATTTTGTGTGTGTGGCCAATCGCTTTTCATGCGCATTTATAAGAGAACGGTTTCGGCTCTTTACTTTTTACTTACTACAAGGAGATGTTCAACATACATGTTGTTTCAAATTGGCTTTCCTGTTTCATCACTCCATGAATTCTGTTGAATCATACCAGCTTATTCCTCGTTTATAGTTCCTCTATAGTTTTTTCACGAACATAGAGAGACTTCGAACTTCATCTTAAAATCAACAATAATTATTGCCCTGTCCGTGCAACCACTTGCTGAACTTTGATTCCGTCAAATCATCATGTATGTCCTAAATTGATATTTGTTGATTTGTGACACGGATTAGATACTCTATGAAAATGTGAAACGTTTTCCTACACTCAAAAAGGATTTATTTTGTCGTTTGACCCATTCATTACCACTCACGATTATAATACATTTGTGAATAATATCATCCACCGGGTGAAAAGGAGCTTAACAACTTTGACAATCGTACACCAAGTTTGCCTGAGTTTCCCTTCGTGTAAGTCCATGTGTGCGACTCGCATCTTCAAAATTCAAGTGTTCTGTACATATACTTAGACACAAGCTTCTTGAAATGTTTATCACATTCTAGCGAGATCATTCACCAGGAAACCTGTTACGTAGTCTACAGCTGTTGTTTTTTATGTAACTGAACTGCATTGCTTGTCAATTTGTCAACAATCTTGAAAACTAGCTGCCCTAGGCTCTTTCTCCTCTCGTGTTTATACCAAGACTCGTAGCTTCAATCATCCTTATAGGTGAAAAACTTCGAGATACTTTCGGAAAAGGAACTTCAACTCCGTCAAACAGTATAATTTTTGTTCTCCATAACAAGTATCCAACATTGTGAGGTGACAACACCTAAGAAATGGCTTCTTCTGCGCGCAATTGACTATATCTCTTCAAGATACAGGTTAAAGATCATACCGATTCACCTGTTCACAAATCAGGTTAAAGAGCATACCGATTCACCTGTTCACAAATCAGGTTAAAGATCATACCGACTCACCTGTTCACAAATCAGGTTAAAGATCGTACAGATTCACCTGTTCACAAATCAGGTTAAAGATCATACTGATTCACCTGTTCACAAATCAGGTTAAAGATCGTACCGATTCACCTGTTCACAAATTTAAAGATCCAACAATCCACCATGTACGAATCACGTGCTTGGAATTCTGTTCTCTTGGCTCCAAACTACTCTGATCATTGATCCATGCAAGACAGCTTGAACTTACTTTTGCTAAGCCTTTGTATTGTAATATGTTGTTCAGCAATTTATTACGTTCCATCCTCGTTGTGAATTGTATTTGCTTCTAAACATGAGCCCGTTTTCAAGTAATTCATTTCCAACTGTTCTGAAGATACAGGGTACAATATTTTTGCACTTTGGATTGTCTCGCATCCCAGTGCAATATTCATATCATGCCAGCTTTAATCATCACTCTCACGCCTTTTGTATGCATCTTCACAGTAGTCCCTTCTTGTCAAATTTTTCAATGAAGCAAGCTCAATGTCTTTGGGCATGGTGTTGTTATTAATGAGTAGAATAAACGAATCTTCAATACATCCATGTTTGCTAGAGTCTTCACCATATTTATACGTATTTTTTTTTCTATTTTTATTCCTCTGTTCCTGTCATCTTCAACGTTTTCTTGTTTGGCATAAGAAGTGAAACACTTTGATGCTCGATCCAATGTCTGCCGTTCATGATTTTTATATCTCAAAGGCCCTTTCTGACCGCTCTTACGGATTATATTCCTTCGAACCGAATGCCATCATGATCACAACCACATCTGCTGCATTTCGTACACACTTAGCACCTCGGACACTTTTACTTACATATGATTGGTGGGATACTATTGTACGGAGGCATGTCCATGACGTCCCTAGATCGTAAACTGACAAGTTTGTGTAATGGTGTTGCAGCAAGCATGACACAAGAGTAACGTACTTTGGGAAATATTTTGTATTTTTTGGGGTCTAGTTTACGGTTGTTTTTTTGGTTTTGTTGACCAACAAAAATGATCAACAGGAAAAAAACTCATTTTGTATACTTCCAATTTTCATCTATCTGGCGATATCAATTTTGGGGTGTTTTAAGTTTTACTACACTCAATAAACCCCAAAATCGTCACTTTCATCAATCGTGCTACCTCATAAGACCATTGTTAGTAAGGTACCAATGGAACTAGCAATTATTACATAGAACTGAAAGTAGCAAAATAGAGAGGCAAATCCCTTACATTAATTTGTACCAAGCATCAGTAATATAAATTATATTAATTAATATTTTTTTACTTTGTACTTTACACTGGCCCTCCGGTGGCTTGCGGCAAGTCTGTGGACTTATAACGCTAAAATTCGATTTTTCGATAAAGACTATTGTGTATCTCTGTGGTTAGCAACAAACAAAGAATACTTTACACTGAGTAACGTCTTTATTGGTAATTTCATTTATTGCGTTAAACATTGAGATAACAATTTTAGTGGTATTTTAATTTGTTAAATGAAATTAATAACTAAATAGTAAAATGAATAGCAACAATATATGAGTTCTTTAACTAACATTTACTCTATTATATCTTTAATAATAATTTCATTAACATTATTACTCAGAATGTTTAATATATATATATATATACACACTCTATTTTTTATTTTTGTGTTTATTGTATTTCATAAAGATTATTTTATATAGTTGGCTTAGTATGTGGACTTAAGACTAACCTAAATCTCCTAAGCTGGTCACACCTCGTGATATATTATTGGAATTACGGCCGAAAATACCGCTAACAGCAAGCATACTTAACCAATGAAACAATGCATTTTAATCTTTATAAGCGAGGCCATAACAGCACATTTAACAAGCTATCCTCTTTACTCAGTTCACTTTTAATTCTGATATAGGTAGGCTAGTTATGTTGTTCAGAAGTTAATATTTTTTTATTTGATATTTATCATAAAATATTTTTATTACTAACAATAGTAAGTCTATATTAATTGTAAAGCCTTTGTTAGTGATGTTACTTGTTATATTAACGTAATATTTATGTAGTATTTTCCAAAAAGCATTGTTTTTATTAATAATGAGAAATATGTGATATTAATGCGTGTGTTGTGTTTAAAATTGCATTATCTTGTAGTTACCAGTGTGTGACGTCATTATTATTTATCTAATTGTTTTATTTTATTCGTTACGTATTTCTGAAAGGATCAGACAGCGTCTTTCCAAGATTCAATCGTGGTTACAGCTAACGAGATAAGGTAGGGTAGAAACAAAGATAAGAATTGTAGACCATTGGAAAACGGCTAATCAGACTCTCAACAAGCAGCACGTTATGTTAGCTGGATTTTGGGCTTATCCTTGTCAGGAAACTAAATAATAAAAAAGTATGTTACAGCAGTTTCAGGGAGACTTGTGACGGCATATAAAATATTACATTTCTTGTCAGTTCTTAGTTAATTAGCAGATAGATAAGGCGATCATGTCCGAAGCGTGCAGTGAGAATTAGTAGCCAGGATGACATATTACAGAGAATACAACTCAAGAAACTGTAGGTGTGAAAGCTAAATAGCAATTTACACAAGATGTGCTGTGGTTTTTTGCCTGATTCAATGACTCAAATTCTTGATAAACCAACTGAGGTTGGAAACCTTATTCACCAACTTAGGGAAGCAGAACAGAGAAGAAGAAGAAGAAAGTCTCCACCAGAAAAAAAAAACAATCATCCATTTAGTCAAGTCACGTGCATTTCTTAGAGTCACGTGCACAGAAGATGAGCTTATCTGTGAGAGAATTTTTCTTCACAGATAAAGTTAGATTTTTAATCACGGTCCTATATCGAATATTAGAAGAAGAAAAAATACAGCAGCTCTTCTGGAAAAACTGAAAAGATTCGAATTTGTAATAAACTAAAGAGCAGTCGTAGGATACCGTGAAAGCGCTCGTGGATATTTCGATTTTTCAAGTTAGATTTTCTCAATTGGATAAAAAAAAAAGAAATAACAGAATATCGCGTTTTCCTTATTTATACATATTTGTAGATACAGAAATAATGTACCTCAAGCGACAGAAATAGTTCCTCTCTTACATTAAGGATATATGTAATTTAAATGTACCTTATGTTTTATCGTTCATTTTTGGTATATTAAACTTCATAAGATCTGGGTACTTTGCGTGTTAAAGCCCATTTCTTGTACATAGGTTTCTATAAGTTAAAAGTACTTTCGGTTTTAGTAGGTCTTACCGTTCCTATATAGCTTTACAACTCGAAAATAATTCGCTTTTTTTTTAGATTCTTTTTTTTTGTATGTGAAACTCGAAAAGTTTAAACTGCTTCTTTGTTTTCTAAAATCTCATCTCTTCTGTACATAGCTTAGGGTTGAGTACGTTTTAAAATATAAGATTCACCGAAAATTGTTAGACTTATTACACTGTTAACACATGTCAGGAAAATATTATTCATACTATTACTAAACATTTCAAAAAATGACTTATGTTAGAACCTTATTGTTCGTAGAATTGTTAGACATTTCTTCAATTCGCGTATATCGGGATATTGTTGAACAGAAAATTGTTAGACGTTTCTGCAGTTGACGTGTATCAAGATAGTGTTTGTTGATCGTGGAATTGTTAGATGTTTCTGCAGTTGACGTGTATCAAGATAGTGTTGATCGTGGAATTGTTAGATGTTTCTGCAGTTGACGTGTATCAAGATAGTGTTGATCATGGAATTGTTAGATGTTTCTGAAATTGACGTATATCAGGATATTGTTGTTCATAGAACTTTAGATGTTTCTGAAATTGACGTATATCAGGATATTGTTGTTCATAGAACTTTAGATGTTTCTACTGTATTAATTTATATCAGAAAGGTAGAGTTTGTACACTTATTGGACATTTTTACATAATTGTATTCCATTAGAATATTGTTTATAACATTGATATAACGTTTCGATTAAATAGATTTATTTCAGAAGGGGTTAGAGTTTGTATAATTAAAATGTAGAATTGGATGTGTAAATGCTTATATGTCAGAATGATGTTTCCCTCTTTCCTTTGCTGTTTTTATGATCACATAATGTATCCATTTGTCTTCTAGTGACGGGTATGAACTAGTGGTTAGCATGCTCGGACAGTGGATCCAGTGGTTACTAGTTCGCGTCTCGCTGCCACACAAATTAGCTCTGTGGGTGCGTCATATGAGTGACGGTCAAATCCCATTATTCTGTCAGATTCTTTAGAGAATCGCAAGAGTTGGCGGTAAGGTGCAGTTGACTAGTCGCCTTCCTTCTAACGCATCAGTTCAGAATTTGCGCAACTAGCCATTTTGTAACTTTGCGCAAATATTCTAAACAACCATTTTCTTCCAACTAGCTTTTGCAAATAAGAATGTTGGCATGTGAATGACCCTGTGATATATTTGTAAACACACGATAAGTATGATAACCCGACAATGTTCTTACACGGTACAGGTCGAAGGCAACATATTTGTGGTATACAACATGGGTACTGAAGATCACCCTATTGGCGAGCTTAGTGTGAGAGTAGATGATGGTCAGTACCATGTAGTTCGATTCACCCGTGCTGGCCCCAACTCCACTTTACAGCTTGATAATCATAACGTTCTCACCAAATATCCAGAAGGTAAGATTTCCAGCTTCCTTTGATTATTTATCGATTGCATATTAATCAACTTACTTAATGATTTTTCTGTTTTATTTCCCTTTTAGGTTATGCACCAGTAACTCATAAGCAAGTTGTATTGTATCTTTTAGTTTCTACTTTAGAAAAAGCCACCCAGTGGCACAGCGGCATGTCTGCGGACTTACAACGCTAAAAACCGGGTTTCGATATCCGTGGTGGGCAGAGCACAGATAGCTCATTGTGTAGCTTTGTGATTAATTACAAACAAACTTTAGAAAAAGTTAATCATTGAAACTTTATGGGTAATTTGTTGTTGTTTTTTTTAGTTTCTGTTTTATCGATTTTTTTAAATAAAAGTTAATTTTAAACACACAAAAAAAACACGATCGTTGTAGTCATGGGAGGGATTTTGTGTTTGTGAACCACACGTGATCAGAGATACACAATTACATTTGTTTTCAAAACCAGAAACGTTAATATTTGTATTTTTTTTTAAAAATAAAAAATAAAAATTATTATTACTGGAGCTATTCTCGTTTCCGGTGCTTAATATCGACGTTAATTTTTTTGCTGAAGCTCAAGAATGTTTATAGTTTATTTAATGTTAGTTTTCTCAATCATAAATTACAATATGTCTACATTAATACTGGTGTTATCAATCAGAAAGTTCAGTATGTATCCAATATCGTTAATAATGGTGTTACCCATCAGAAAGTCCAATATTTATCCGGTAGCATGAATACTGGTATTATCCATCAGAAAGTTCAATATGTATCTAGTAGCATCAATACTGGTGTTAGCCATCAGAAAATCCAGTATGTATCCAGTAGCGTTAATAATGGTGTTATCCACCAGAAAGTCCAGTATGTATCCAGTAGCATTAATGATGGCGTTATCCACCAGGTACTCCAGTTTTTCTAGTAACTTTGATAATGATTTTATTCACTAAAAACAACAAATGTTCTAGTGTTATGATGCTGGAAAATAATTAAAAAATGAACTTAATATTCATTTAATACATTATTTGATGCTTTTAGAATGAAGTATATTAATGATTTGTAAGAAAGAGGGGGAAAAAAAGGTGTATATAGTTTTCATACGCTTGCGTAAATTGTGTATTTAAAAGTTATTTGTTTTTATTTTTCGAAGGCTTTCTAAGATTTATATATTATACTACCGCGATATCATGCCTCATTTTAAAACGAATAACGTGAAGCCCACTAAAATATATATGTATGTCTCTGTTGGTATTCAGGTAACATCCGCATCCGTAAAGAAGTTACAAGTATCCGCAAAACCAAGTTTCCGGAAATTTTATGCAAAGTTTTAAATTAACTTAAACAGCAAAGGAAAACGAGCAAACAGAAGTGAAAAAATAAGATAGAATATTTACCTGCAATAGTGAATATTCAGAACCAAACTGGCTGGCTTCTATTTTTTTTCTTTTGTGTGTTTTTTTTTTGTTGTTGTTGTTGTTTGTTTCTGTTGTTGTTGTTGTTCTCTTTTGCTGTTGTTGTTTCTGGCTGCTGGAATAGTATAGGTTTTCCAAAGTATTTCGACAATACGAGATTCAAGGAATAGACAAGAGAGCTGAGTAAATACCTAACTTTTATTGTCAGACTGAGATCCTAGTGCAACAACCCATAATCATCAGATTACTTACATCCATGATCACTCCTAGTAAATATATCCAACTCATACCAAATTGTATAGGTCTCTGTATCATCTATAGAAATGGGTAAAAACTCCACACTAGGAGTCTGATACAAAACGATTCCGCGTTTGCTTGAATCTTCTGAATGTTGTTATATGTAACTTTTATATAAACAAAAGGGTAAGTGCATATCTACAACTGCCATACATCCGGTTAACGTAAATGTCATGAACTATGTGCAGAACATTTACGTGGAAATTTAGATAAATTACCTGAATATATCTTACAAAGATACATTTAAACTTGTTATAGAAGGTAGAAATTAGAACTCATTTTTAGCTGTAATAAGTCCTCTTTTCAGGATTTCCCCCACATCCAAACATTAAAATTAAGCATTAATGAGCGAATTAGAAGGTTAACTACCAGGTTTTCCTTTAGGTGTCAGCGACACCTATATGAAGACAACAAATGGCTATAAAAATATTCCAGCAACAGCCAGTTAAATAAAAATTAATAAAACTCAAAAAATTAATATGAACTTAAAAATAAAATTAGAATACAATAAAAATATCGAATTATTATTTAAAAGTAAATGAAACTCTAAATAAAATTACAATTTTAAATACATCAGACATTATTCGTCAAAATTAACCGCCTCCAGTGGCTCAGCGATAAGTCAGTGGGCTTATATAGCTAAAAATCGGGGTTCAATCCCCGTGATGTGCACTGTACAGATAGCCCATTGTGTAGCTTTGTGCTTTACAGAAAAAACAAACAAACAAACAAACAAAAGGAAACCATAGTTATAACTTAACACAAATTAGAAGTTAAATGAAACAATTATAAATAAGATACTTGGTTACATAAATTTCTTTACAACACTTTAGCAAAATCGTAACACAAACGGTTACATTACAAGATAAAACCAGTTATGGTACCATTTTTACAAACTACAGTTTAAAATTGAATATACAAAACAAAAAGTACTAAACAAAAATCAATATTTACAATTAGGATTTGAAAGTGAATTTGAAATAAACAAACCACAGAACCACCTACAAATTAGAGTATTCTAAAATGAAGTCAGAATTGTAAGACGCATAAAATTGGCTACAGATCTAAAGGTATTTGAAATTATATTCGTGAACCTGTCGGAGTTTTTGTATAGGCCGGATTCTTTACAGTAGGTGTCTGCGACTTGTTGGCGATATATTTCGACAATAAACAGACAGCACACAATCCACTTGTTTTAAAATAATATATTAGAACAAGTCAAACGTATGTACATATGTTCTTTACACTGTTGGTTATCATAGTTGTATCCAGTGCTAATTGTTTCTTTTCGTCTAAGTCCATACAGGCTGGTTCAGTTACTTTAGAACACAATTTGACAAGACAAATTATTAATCCTGCTCTATAATCACAGAACAGTTTATGATAATTTCACTTTAAAATCGCCATTATAACTGTTGGTTACCACAATTGCATACAAAGGTTTAAATAACTGTCTCCTTTTCGTCAAATTCCACACAGTTGATAAGATGACTTCTTCTTCTTTACTCTATTATTACAATACAATTTGTGATAATTTCGCTTTAAAAATCGTCACTATACCCTCTTTATGGCTCAACTCACAATCACGTAGTCTAGATCTATGTATTGAACTAAATTTTAAACGCCCATTTATACCTCGACAGAGGTCTAGAACGTTACACACACCTCTAGATATTATGAGGCAATAAT